AATGGCAAAGCAAGGCATGTGTGGGAGAGAGGAAACCTGGTCTATGAAGCAGAATTCCTGTTTTATCATCTAACCAAATATTGTGTGGGCCACATATATTTAAACACCTTTGCCTTTAGCCACAAAAGCCAGGGAGGGAGGCAGAGATCGGTAACGATCCCCTCCCTACAACAACACTTCTGCGATTTGTCCTGTTGGTCAACATAGGATGGCCACCCAATTCAGAGATATTCGTATATGCTTTTTGGATATTGTGTATTTTACAAATATGTATTTTGGATATTGGTCACTGACCGTAATAAAGCAATCCAATCTAATACAGAGAGATCCATGATCATCAGTGGACTGTACCCAATAATCCCCAATCCTTTCATCTTTCTGTTTATTCTAATACGTATTTATTTATTTATTGGATTTCTATCCCGCCCATCTAGACCAAAAGTCTACTCTCTCTGTTTCCTTAAACATCAAAGCAAGTCGTCCTTGCCACTGAAGAAGGAGCCCATTTCCCTTCATTCCATAGAATCCTAGAATCATGGAGTCTGGAACGGGACTCTTAAGGCCATGGAGCTGAAACCCTTGCTCAGGCCAGAAATCCATGATGAAGTCCCCCGATCGTCCTGGTTGCCCTCCTCTGAACTGGTTCCAGTATGTCAGTATCCTTCAAGGATTGGTGTCCGGAATCGGACACAAGATAAGGAGCCAGATAGAGGCCCACGGGAACCTCATGGGATTCGGAGACTAGACTTCTGTTAATGGAGCCTAAAATCGCATTGGCCTTTTTTGCAGCTGCATCATAGGGTTGGCTCATATTCAGCTTGTGATCAACGACAGTTCCAAGATCTTTCTTGCTCGTAGTATTACTGAGCCAAGTATCCCCAACTATCCTCTTTCTTGTAACTGTGCATTTGGGTCTCCCTGCCCCCAAGTATAGAACTTTGCACTTATCCATATTAAATTGTATTCTCTTGTTTTTAGTCTAGTGTTCGCGTCTATCCAGATTTTTTTAATGTTGTTTCCAGGGTACTAGCTATTCCATCCAATTTTGTATCATTTCTTAATCCCTTAAATTTTACAGAGATAACCTGTTTCATCTGGTGTTGCTCCTAGCATATCTATCCGTACAAGTCGCAGCTCCAACGTGGGAAGTCCTTGCCTCCCAAATATGCCCTGGAGCTACTGGCTGTCTATGCTTGGGAACGAGGGAGCCAAAAGACGGATTTCGACATGGCAGAAGGGTTCCGGACGGTGCTTTGGCTCATCCAGCAGTACCGGCAGCTCTGCATATTTTGGACTATCAACTACGACTTTCAGGATGAGACCCTCGGACGATACCTGCGCAACCAGCTCCAGAAACCCCGGTGAGTCTCCTATGCCTTTCCTGGACCCTGTCCCAAAACCACCATGGCTAAAATTGGGATACTTTTTAAACCACCCTAGTTCTCCTGTCACTGATCTAATTTTTCTCCTACCAAAAAGTGGGGAAAGAAACTAGAAGACTAGCTATCCTTGCCTTGATTCTGACCCAGAGAGATGACTTAGTGGAGGAAGGGGCAGGAAGGGGAACTCTGGGCGAGCGGGACCATGTTCTCCTAGGATTCTTCATTTCAAAGGAAACCCCAAGCAGAGTGTAGCCATGCACTTTTCAAAAGCCAGTTTTAATAATTTCATGACCAAGAATGAGTAAGGTCCCGTAGCAGGAGATCCTAACAAGAAAAGGAGTCCAAAAAGAGTGGGAATTAAAAAAATCTAAAAGCACAGCTACAAACAATTCCAAGAAGAAGAAAAAATGTGAGAGGCAGTAAAAAAAAAAAAAGGCTGGTATGGCTTCACAGAAAGCTCAGGGAGGACCTCAAAACAAACAAACAAACAGATATGTATAGGAGGTGGATAGAAGGCCAGGTCACCAAGGAAGAGTACGGTGCGCTAAATGTTGGGCTGTGACTTATCCGGGACCCCAGTGTACAAAGTTCTTCAAAGTCTTATGAAGTCAGATAAATAGCTTTCCATTCAATCCTTGGGAGAAGGGAGGCTCATTTGGAATACCTTTGCGAGTCTTGAATGAAGTCTCACCCACCTTATCACCACCTGTTTCCATTTTGGGATTTCAGACCTGTCATCCTGGACCCGGCTGATCCAACTGGGAATCTCGGAGAAGGTTGCTGGGATCTGGTCGCTCAAGAAGCTGCAATCTGTTCTCAACAGATATGTTGCACGACTTTCGATGGGCGTCCAGTGGCTTATTGGGATGTTCCAGTGAGGATGGACGGCTTCTGCCACCAGATTAGTGGAGAACACTTCCCGGTGTGGGATGGGGTGGGTGGTGAAATTTCCATTTGCAAAAGTGGAGTGTTTGGCTTAACCTGAACATTCCTGCCATGGGACCCAGCCTGTGCTGTCTTGCCTTTCTGTATCTACTAGACCCTCCCTCCCTTTCACGGACTGAGTTAAAATATGAGTAGATCTGCTGGGAACTCACACTCGGGAATTTGTGACTGTCTGGGTGAATTTGTTTTAGCTGATGAGACAGGAGTTGGCAGAGAGATAAGAGGAAATTGGCAACCAGCCCTTGTTAAAGCAGCTTCCGCTGTAGCTGTCCAGATTTGCAGGAGGCACAGCTACAGCAGAGCTACCTTAACAAGCTGCAAACAAGGGTTGACTGCCAATTTCCTCATCTCTCTTCCACTGTTTCTTTTTGCTCTCTGAAGTGCTCTATCACAACTTTTTTTTTTTGCAGTGGTGGTACCAAGCTTTAAAAACAATAGCATTATTAGCACTATAAGCAAAGATCCAACGTCTCATTGGCTGGATCATCCCAATGCCTTGTAGTTTGATTCCTTTAAAGGGGTGCTCAGTTGACATCCACAAGTGTCCCTTTGCTGTCTCTCTACTCACCCTGCCAACTAGCAGCAGGCCGGCAGATACTTTCCTGCATCAACTCAAGCAGTCACACCAACTGAACTGATGTGAATGCATTCGCTTCAAAAATAGTAGAAGCCCCAGTGGCCGAGGTAAAAGATTTGGATTGTGGGCATAAGCTCTGGGCTGATTCACATTGACTTGTACATCATTTGGTCAACAGAAAATACTACAAATCTGACCATCCTGATTCCAGACTGAATCCTATATTGCTTGCCAACGTAGTCTTCCCTTCAGCCACCCAAACCCTTCCTAAAAATATTAACCAAAAAGAAAAAAAGCAAAGTGTGCTGCTTATATATCACCCCACAGCGCTGGATGGCTTACAGTTTAATTATGGGGGCTACACATTGCCCCTGCCCCCACAAAAGGCAGGTTTCCCAATTTACTGATCTCAGAAGGAAGGAAGGCTTGTGCTGTCTACCTGAGCCCTTCTGGGTCAAACTTAGCTTATGAGCAGAGTCTTCAGTGCAGTATTGCAGTTTAAGCACAAGGCTCACTGAAGACCCAAAGGGTGTTGTGGTGAAATGAAGCTACACACTCTGCTATATAAGCAAAATCATTTTTTTATATATTACAGACTTCAAGTGACAGACTTCAGTTGCACTCTGGGTCATTTATCCGCCATGAGGTATGTTCACATTCTGCCTGAGGAGGTGTGTAGGGAGGGTAATGCAGGGCAAGTAGTGGTGGCTAATGACTCACAGCACAAGATTAATTTATTATGGGTTGCCTGATAAGAACCTAAATCTCCCTGGTGAGGACGGAGCACCAAAGAGACAATAGGAGCCAAACGTCCGAGTCCCAGGAACCACGCTGGAAGTGTTCACATACAGAAATCTCCCGAGACAGCCTGTTCCCTGTGATTGTTTGCTTCCGCTTTTATTTCTTTGCCGCAGAATTTTAGTTGTTGTCTTGATCCACACAGCATCATTGCATGTAGTGTCTGGTGTGCTTCTAAGGGCCAAACTACATTACAGGCAACCCATCTTGAGACGAGTAGATCCTTCAAGGGCTGAAAGACATGTGATTGTCACAGCATGAGTTTTCATGCCGTCCCAGAGGTATCGTACTGGGATGATCTAAATGGGCTTGTTTCGCTTTGTGATGATCAGTTCCCTGTTTCGGGAGGCGATTCTTCGCAAAACGATGATTTTCTAACAGCTGATCAGCGGTTTTAAAATGGCCGCTGGGTAATTAAAATGGCTCCCCACTGTGTTTAGGGATGGATTCCTCGCAAGACAGTCACCGAAAATGGCTGCCTATGGAGGATCTTCGCTGGACAGTGAGTTTCCAGCCCATTGGAACGCATTGAAGGGGTTTCAATGCGTTTCAATGGGCTTTTTAATTTTGCTTTACAATGTTTTCGTTCTACAGCGATTTCGCTGGAACGAATTAACGTCGTAATGCGAGGCACCCTGTATTCCGGAAGCTTCTAGATGGCAGGAGAAGTGGACCATCCATATTTAGCTAAGCAAGGTTCCTTGGTTCTTGTTCCTTCTGGCAGCTTTGAGCAAGGGTGTCATTGTTAGGGGAATCAACATGAGAAAGAGATGGTTGTGCCGGCTTTAATCTCTCCATCCCTTATACGAGCACTATAAGAAGGATAATAATTACCTCCTCTCAAATCAATTCCAAGTTAAGGTGACCCCAAGGATGGAGTACCGACAAGCAGTTTTAGTCTTCCCCTTTTTCCAGGGGGCAGCCTTGAGATGGTGCAGCTTGCCCAAGGCTACCCAGGCTGGCTTTTCTCCTGGGAGGCAGAGAGAAGAGTCAAACCCCTAACCCCAGTCCTCCAGTGCATTCCGCTAGCCAGCCAGTGCTATATATAGATGATAATGTACTTTAGTCCCTCACATGCCTGGTTCCATAGGTGTGGTCTTTGCTTCCTTCCCACCCACAGGAACCTCCGCAGGAAGAAACTTGGTACTGCACCATTCTCTGAAGAGATCCCTTCCAAGATCATCTCGTGGAATGAAGGAGAGCCTCTTGTCTTTCAAGCTGTGTTTGCAAAAAGAACAGGAGTCAGATGTCTGAATATGGGCTGATTCTCGAGGCCTTCTTAGAACTGTGCCCTAGAACAGTGGTTCTTAACGTGGGCGATAATGCCCCCCAGGGGGCGATTTCATTTTTCAGGGGGGCGGTAGAACGAAAAGGGGCAGTGTGGGGGCGATGGAGCAGAAGGGG